CCTCCTGCACGCTGCTCCCCAGGGAGACGACCAGAGCCAGCTCCCTTAGCTCTATGTGCGGGGGTTTTTGCCCAGTTTCTGTGTGAGGACACTGGCTGATACTGAGGAAGTGTTTCACTGTGCCCCACAGCTCACTGATAACGGCGGGGACCGGCGACTCACCGGCAATTTGTGCCCCTCAGCAGAAAGGCCCCTGGTACTTACTCGTGCCGGTATTGACAGGTCCCCACTCCGTATTGCAAGAGGTATTTAATGCCACTAACAAGCCTGTGGGAATGGCACGTTTCACTCAGCCCCGCAGTTACTTCAGGTATCTGCTCCTTTCAAGTCAAAGCTATGTGAGAGCCCAGGGCTGAAGAAGTGTTTTGCACAGCCACCCAGTGACCCAAATTGCTGAGCCGGGCTCTGCCTCGCCTCCCCCCCAGAGCTAACAACTCTCTCAACCACAGCAGGACCTGGATGTTCCAGGGATGAGTCGGCTTCACCACTAGCTGTCATCTCCGTCGCTTCAGGGCTGAGTCTCACCCAGTTTGACCCTGAGGAGTGTGTTAGACTCATCTCTCTGGACCTCTGGCTGCACCGGCTCTTGGCTCGGTGCCAGTCATGCCATAGCATTAATGGCAAGCGAGGGCGGGTCAGATCCGCTCCCGCACCACGAACCCCATCCCTGGTCTGCGGGGGAGAAATAAGAGTGTTATCCCAGGGTCACAGCCCTGCAGCCAGCTCAGCCCTCACCCCCCCCAAGGCAAGCGTGCAAGCTCAGTGGCCAGCAGCTTTTTCCTGACGCTGAATTTTTCATTTCCCCCCCAATTTTTTATTCAGCCCCCCACGACACAGGCGTGGAGCTTCCTACCGCCTGCACAAAGCTTTGCACGGCATGGCGCTGGTTTTCCCTTTTCCTTTCTCACCCCCCAAGCCCCGCAGCCAAGCGGGACGGCGGAGCAGGCAGCTCACCCTGGTGCCTGCCCACGTTCACGCCGGGGTGAGCAGAAAGCCCTCCCCAGCCTCCCGCGCTCAGGGCACCGGCGTCTGCGGCCGCCCTTCGCTGGGGGGAGACCTGCTTCCGTGCTCAGCGAAAGCGTGGGGACAGCCAGCGGCGTCTCGCCCACACGAGCTGCGATCGGCCAAAAGCAGGAGCTATTTCTGGAGAGCAGCTTCTCTTGGAGCAGAGGCAGCAGAACCAGGATGCGCTGACCGAAAAAGAAAAGCCCTGCTGTTTCGAACGCAAAGCGAGGTTTCCCAGCCTCCCGCCAGGGACGACGGATGACAGCCTTGCAAAAATAAGAGAGGACTGCAGCGCTCTGTGGCAGGAGGGCTCCAGATGAGCTCAAAGGCTATTTCAATAAAACTGTAAACACACCAGATCTGCTGCTGTTGCAGAGCTCCGTGAAATCAGTGATTTCTGAGCGGAGTTCAGTTGGAGAGCGCTGGTGCTATAAAAAGCAAAGTGACTTTGGGCATTGACGCTTCCTCCTGACACACAAAAAGGTGATTTGTGATTCAAAAGATGAGGAATTTATCATCAAAAGGACCTGGGACAGAGCTCAGTGTTTACACATGGAAGAACAAGACAAGCACCGAGAACAGATATATTTATACCCATCCATTAATAAAAGAAGCCAAGTCAACCATACCTTTGTGCTAAAGTTAGAGCACAGCACTTGGCATGCCCTTAAAAAGGCAAGAAAGTTTCCGCAAACTGGGACAGCTGCTGCCGGTGCCGACTCTGCACGTCCCCTCCCCGGTGCGCGCGGGGGCTCCCGGCATCGGTGCGCTGCAGCGGGAAAGGAGCCAAACGCGGCGAGGCTTCTCCAAGCGAGAAGGCTGACTCGTGGAGTCTGGTCATGGGCTGGTGGCCACGGCACCTCGGGAGCCAAACAGTTCCTGCTCCACCTTCGGAGACCTGCAGAAGTAGTCTGCCTCTTCCCAGAAACAGAAATCCTCAGGTTTTGACTTCAGTACCCTCTTTGCTTCCCCAGTCATAGGGCTCACACAGGCCGGGAGCCTTCACCTCTGCTGCAGGAGGAGAGATGAGGGCGTGCCGCTTGCAGCACACTCGGGCTGGCCCTGTGGATGAGGACTTGGTTTGTGGGGCTGTCTCCATCAGCCAGCGAGGGAAGAGGAGCAGCACCCAAGGTTTACAGGTTTGGGCTGTCGCTGATGGGTCAGTGTGAGCCCAGGGTGAACAGGGAGCACCCGGGACAGTAGACGGTTCATCCCCAATGAGGTTAGCAATAGGGCTGGCCAGTGCGAGTCACTGGAAGCTCCTGGATTAGGATTTGATATTTAGAAATGCTTCAGAAATAACTAATTGCAGCAAGTCCCTTAACCCACAGGTAAGGCTGGAGTTGTCTGGCTTCGCTTCCCAAGCGCTGGAGTGTGTTACAATGCTGCCAGGTAGAAAAGCCCTAGAAAAGTCAGATCTTTGTTCCTTGCAAGGTGCTTCTAGAAAGCAATTAATTGTCCTTCTTCTTGACAAACAAACAGATGAGCTCTTGCAGTCTTTTCCCTGTTTCCCCTCTCTCCCCCCCCAGCTCCAGCCCTCGAACCACGCTGGAAGCTCTTCGCTGAACCCCTACCAGCTCAGCTGGAGCCGCAGGAGCCCCGGACGTGCTATGCCAGAAATGATCACGCTTCGGGCAAACAGAGCAACCACAAAAAATACATCTTGTCTGAATCAAAGTTAAGTGCATCACGCTTTTTCTTCTCCACACGCCAGAAAAACGGCTGCAAGTGACAACCAACCCCAGCCTGTGCAGGGAAGGAAACAGGGCTGTGGACGAGCACAGGAGGCCACGGGTCACCTCTCACCTCCCAGGACGTGATCAAGTCGTTGGCATTCCAGAATGCATTTCACCTCCAAGCTCGTGCTGAAGATGCTACAGTTACATGAACAACTTGACTGACCTTTGAGCAAGTTATAGGACTAGATGACCGCCACACATCTCTTCCAACCCGAATTATTCTACGACTTTGTCATTTTTGCAGACAGAAAGGAAGCATGCAAATAACCCTCCCTCCCACATCAGCTGCTAAGCTCTCCTATCAGAGGGATGCTCAGGCTACCATCCCTGAGCCAGCATAGTCAATAGCAGGACAGCAGCAAAACCCCGAGAACAGGTCAGCCCCGCCACTGGCACAGGGATCAGGGCTTCTTCCTGGGCTTTTGCGCTCAAATCTCCTGACGCAGTTTGTCAGTGCCAGATGAAGACACACTAGCCTCACCCCTTGAGGAGTGCTGCAAATTCGTTTTGAATTCATAAATTATTTCAACATGATCCAAACAACGCTTTCCAGCAAGCATTTATCATTTATTGACTAAATCCCCACCACACAGCTGCCAAACGCAGCCACGTGGCACAGGGGTTCGCGCTCAGTGGCCGTGTTTGGTGGACCTCGGGCTGGCGCCAAGCCCCGTGGCCCCAAGCCCACGTCCCGGTTGTTACCAAACCCTCTTCCAAGCTACTTCCTGACGTGGCAAGTGGTAGCCTCCCTCTCACAAGTGGTAGCCTCACTCTCAGTGGATGCGACCTACACATGCTGAAATGTGCAGTGGCTTGCGATCAGCTAGGACTGACTCACATGATTTGTCTATTATTTATTATAATTATTTACAGCTTGTAGAAGGGGAATGTATTAAATCAGCGGCACTCGCTTCCTTAGCCAACTTGCAGTCCATTCGAAGAACCTGTATCAGCTTCCTTTGACGAGCTTTTGACAAACCCGTTGGGCAATGCAGTAATATTGTAACACTTTCAATGACTTACTAGTGAATTCCAGGATCAGCCATTTTATGGCTTTGCCTTGAAACGAAAGTAGGCTGGAAGACCTAGGGCATCTTTGCTTCTCTTTTGTTGCTGCCTCTGCGCTACCTTTCTCCCAGCTCAGCAGAGCTTCGTTTCGAGACCTCTCCCAGTCTCACCGATCCAGAGTCCTTTAACCAGCTCTTCCACAGTTATTCAGCCCCGATTTCCAGGCATCTAATTTTGGCAGTTACTGTCGAATATCCTCTCAAGTTATTGTTAGAATGAAATGAGGATCATCTGACAGGAGCGCATTGCAGCTCCTTGGTAAATACTGGGGAGGAACGCTTAAGGAGCTCACGTGCCTTCCTGCATCATTACTGGCAATCCTGCCATCCGGGGACACACCTTATCCCACCCCTTTTGTTTCTGGTACTTCGCATTTCCAAAAGCCGTATGGAAATCCTGCGCTGGCCTCAACTGTACTAGGCATATTTCGCTGTTAGCATTTCGCTGAGTTATCAGTTTCCATAATTATTTGCAAATTGGCCACAGGGATTTATTATTTGTTATTTTTAGGATCATTTCAGCAGAAAAGGCATCCGATTATATGGATATATATTTGCATGACATCTTTCACTTGAGGATCTCTAAGCAGTTCATAGAATACCAATGAATTTCTGCTTGTCTGCAGTGATACTCCTTTTATAGGCAGGACAACAGAGGCAGTGATTAAAAGACATGTCCAAACTCCCAGAGGAAATGTATGCCGAGCACAGGAACACCGGCTTCCAGTTGTGTGTGTTAACTATAAAACCTGTGCTAACACAGACAGCGGGAGGTTGGCTACACAGGCGTTAAAGAAAACGCTGATACCGTAATTTGAAATGGTTGTCTCCCCTTCCACACTAACAGGTTCAAACACAGATTAGGCTTGGAGAGAAGGAAGGGGAAAAAAAAAAAGGCTCCCTATCAAATGCCAAACAAAGGGCCCTTTTCTGCTAATAAGCAGCAACGGGAAAGGATGGCAGGGAAAGGCGTGGGGTTACGGAGAGCTCGATGTATGAACAGACAGGGCTGGGATTTTGCCAGCGTGACTTGCCGAGGCTTCGCCCTTTATCACTGTTAAGAAGATCCTCTCTCCCAGCTCATTCTTCAAAGCAGCCTCCCTTCTTTGCGTTTTACCTGCCAGGGAGACGGACCAACGAAATTCATCCAGATGCACTGAAAAACAGACAACACACAGGAGACAGCAGACTGGTGTTTCTCTCTTTTATTTAAAAACAGTGCTTCATTACCATTTGCAAAGGGTTAGGAAGGGTTTCCCCCCTTGCTTAGAGTTTATAAAAGCCAGCAACATGATCAATAATTTATACACATGGATAGTAATACAAAAAAAAGGAATAAAAGCTAAAGATCTAACTACTCCGACCTTCACAATTCCAGCTACTTGATAATAATAGGAATAACCCAATGAATACTGTATGGTCTGAAAGCTACTATACAATATGATACTTAACGAGGGAGGGCGGGAAGTTAGAGGCTGTCACAAAGCCCTGGGATGCAGATACTGCTTCTCCAGAGTCAGCAGGGAAATGGGACCCTGGGCAAGCGGCTCGGGCGTCCTAGGAAATGATCCAGGGGAAGGGAACGCATCCCACTCGGGACATGTCCTGTTCCCCAGCGGTACCTGGCAATGGGAGGTGCTGGGGAGACCGCGTGAAGGGGCAAGTCTGTCGCTGCCATTGGAGGTGCCGCGGCATCTCAGCCTTGCACTGAAAATCTCCAAGTCTCAAGTAGATCAGCCTGTGAGGTCAGTAAAATACTCCACCAGCTCCGTATCGCTCTACAGCCCTGGTTCTCATTTGCTATCAGCCCCAGGTTTTAGCTCCAGCTATTTACAAGCAGGATTTATCATATTAAAAAAAAAAAAAAAAAAGAAAAAACCAAAACCAAATCATATCCCCTGGGGTAAAAGAGGATTATTTCGTCACTTGATAATGCAGCCAAATCAAGCTGCCAAAACTACAACACGCGCGCACACACAAAATACTGTGAACAGAAAAAAATAGAAAAACATGACCAAAACTGAGACTACTAATGTGGGAGGCCCGATTTCTGTAAGGAATTCACTCCTCAGGGAAGCAACAAGCCCCTCCACCAGCAGAGAACTGGGAATCTGGCAAGAGATTTATTGACCCACTTCAGAAAAAAGAAAAAAAAAAAAAAAAAGAAAAAGCATTCCCAAGATTAACCGGCATTTTGCTGACTGCCAGCCAAATGAATATTCGGGTGGACGGCTTTAGACACCAGCAATCTCCTGGCGAAATCAGGCAAGATTTTTGGCTGATGCATTCTTGCTCTACCATGAGTCGAGAGGCAGTGTGGGAAGCTTGTCTCCTGCACAAGCCTGGACCAGCTGCAGCCCGCTACCCAGCGAGGACAACCGCTGGCAGCACTTTCAACTACCAGCAAGAAGTTGCCTTCCAGGGTTAGCAGTGGCAACGGAGACGGGACTTGGACATCCGAAGTCCCGTTTAGGCTGCCGTCGATGCACGTGCTGCAGAGGGACAGGGGCTATCCTGCCAACTCCTGGCTAGAGCAAAGCGTACCAGGGAAAAACCCCAGAGCCTGCTTGAAAAGGGCCCCATTTCACGCTCTGGCTATCAGACTCCTGCTTGCCTCGTTGACTGGAGTTTTCATCATTGTAGAAGAGAAGTTTACTGGGGTTGGAGGGCAGAGAGGGCAATCGGTAAGGTGGGGGTGGAGGGAAGGGGCTTTTCAGACATTAACATCACCAAAAATAGTGTTTTATGCAACAAAGAATCAAGTCTCACTGGTGTATACTACAAAATGTTTGACATTTTCCAAGAGCATGACAAAATAAAAACACAAAGAAGTTTACATTGGATGTTCATCTTGTTCACTAGGTTGGGGTTTTTGTTTTCCCCCCTCCTATTTTAAAACAGTGCAAACAGGTAACGTACTTAAAAAATCACCCCTCTGCACCAAGGACAGCATTCCCCCGACCCTGCCAGGCTGGAGGGTCACAGGCAGCAGGCTGTCTGCCAGGCTGCCCACGTGCTTTCCCTTTGGAGCTAGACTCAGCAAAAGCGCTCCCCAGAGCCGTTGTTTGGGTTTCCCTTTATTGAATTCCTAAGTGCTCCCCAAACCTGTTCTCCACTTGCCTCCTTCTTCAGGGCAAGGATGGGAAGATACAGATAGGGCTGGGTTGGGGAAAAACATGGGTAGGAACTGGGAGGCTCTGCTTTGCATTCCCTGCTACCGAAGCTCTGGGTGCTGGAATTGAAACCCCAGCAGCCAGCGTCTCTTTTCGGGCAAGGAACTGGTTTCATTAACCGTTTCACAACTAGCACTCGAGCCAGCTATTCAGATAACCCTCCTCAGCTCTTGCTGTGCACTTCACATCCACAGATCTCAAAATGGGCGAGAACAGGGGATAAACTTTCACTTCACTTTAGGGACCGGGAAGTGAAGTCTAGAGTAGCGACACGACTGCTCCACGATGACCCTTGAGGATCACTGACAGAGCCCTGCCCAAAAGACAGGTCTCCGACTCCTGAGCTAGCGCTCTTTCTCGCTGGGCAAGTCTGCTCTCTCTCGGGCACTGAAACAGCCAAGCCACAGCTATTTTAAAACATGGCTTTGTCTATCCGAACTCATGACACAGGATCCACGTAACTGCTTAATCTGGGAAAAGCTGGCTATAGCAGGCTCATACCGAGCTCCCAGTTGTCTCCAGGTCCCATTCATGGCTTTTCTTAGAAAAGCTAACCCACCTACAACAGTGCAGCTTCCCTAGCACGGCGACAGTGACAACAGTTTGTCAACATGCTGGGCATCAATATAACTTATTCCCAGTAGAGAATATACTATACCAGCAGAAGTCATCTTTGTACCAGCACAACTGTACCCACAAGGAAAGACAGACCAGCACATTAAATAAATCAACTCTTCAATCCAAAATTTTATCAGTATAATATCACGTGCTGGCCAGACCTATTGCAAGACAGTACAAACAGCAACACTTAAAGAAACATCTTTTCCTCTGCATCAAGAGGAATCCCGCATGCCACCAGACTAGAAGGTGACAAACAGCAAGCTATTTGCCAGGCTGCCTGTGCGGTTTCCCTCGGAAAGCCAAGCCCTGCTTTGTGAAGGACCTGTGACTGCAGACCCATCTCGGGGACAAGCACTAGCTGCCATCAGTCAAATAAGCCAGGGCCCAGTTTAATTCATTAAGTGTAATTAATTTTGCATAGGGAGATATAGGCTTTGTCCTCACTTCTTCAGAAGATGGATATAGCCACAACTTGGCTACTCTGAATGCATCTCAAGCCAGTTCATAACACATCTGAGTGAAACCAGAGCTGTTGTTTGCCAAGAGGGAAGAAAGGCTGAAGAGCTCTTCTGCCACGGCACAACACTCACTCAAGAAACCTTGCTGCAAAATTCCAGCCGGCGTGCAAGGTTTTGGGAGGCCTGGTGCTCCAGAGACCTGGAACCAGCGAGCTACCTCCGGCCCCCAGCTGAGCAAGGGTCCCGGCGTCCCCTCTGCAGCTCACTGCTGAGAGCAAGAAGCCTCTCTATCAGTGAGCTGCCTCAGTGGGGATCTTGCAGCGTTAACTACGGAGTCGGGGAGACACCGGTTGGTTAATGCACCAGAGGAGCCTGGCAGGGAGCGACCGGAGCAGGTCAGGCTTGGATACAGGAGGAATCAGGCTGGATGGTCTAGAGCAGGTATTACTCGGAGATCATATAGCAGGGGACCATGGACCTGCAAAGGTTGGGCGCTTCTGCACTAAACCCCTTACACTCCTGATATACTCGGGCGGGCTGAAGCTGCCATGCATAGACTCTGCTCGTAGGCAGAAATGGGGCTGGCCTCCCTACTCCCAGAGAGGCCAAGTGGCAGGGGGGGATTGCAGGCGGCACTGCCAGGGCAGGGGAGGGCACTCGGGGAGGGAGAACCCAGCTTTTCAGGAGCTGCAGTCAGAACCAGCTGAACTGAAACGTAGGAAAGGGGCAGAGGGCCGAGCGACTGCCCCTGCCGGGCTCTGCAAGCTGCGCTCCTCTCACTCGCAGCCTGCAGACCTGCTGCATGAGGAAACTGCCTGCAGGCAAGGGAAGGGACGGCGTCACTCAGCCTCTCTGCCCCACAGGCGGGTAGAACAAGTCCAGTAGAGGCTTTTGCTGCATCTCAGCTCGGGAAGTCCCCTGGATGCCCTGCAGTGGAAATGGCTCCCCTTGAATATGACTATTTCTACCACAAGTCCTCCCTCCCCTACCCCAACTCAGACAGTAAAAGCCCCCAAACGCCTCAAGTCCCCCTCATTTCCTAGATTTTGTGAAAGCCCCACCCTGTTCCCCCCTCCCCATTCTCAAGCTAACTAAAATATTTATATACAAACAACAAAAATTGTCATAACAGCAACAAACCAAACTTTGGCTTGGGAAAAAAAAAAAGTTAAAAACCAACAATAAAACCAGAAGAAAAAAACAAAAAGGTGGCCAACAGGCTGGCAGTTTGGTGTCCCCTTTATCTAGCTATTCCTCCAGAGAATCAATAGCTTCACGGTCTCTAGCTTAACTAATGGCTTCCCCATTCTTCCCATTTGAGGTGCCTCCTCTCTGCTGCGCACAAAGAGGCTACGTGTATCGCTGGGGAAGAGCGAAAAAATGCGTGGTTGTGCGTGGCTGGGCCAGGACACCTCCCTGGGAGCTCTGCTTGTTGACATCGTTTAGTGTTTAAATGCAGGAGGTTTCCTATTCTGGTATCAGCGGTGGATGGAGAAGCAGGTGTACGACAGGAGTGGGAGAGGCTCCACCAACAAACCCACGCTCCAAGCAGCCCTTCTGGGGGCCGTGAGCTCACCCCAGTACCAAATCGAGGGAGTTGAGGCAGCCTAATAAAACCACGCCTCTGCATTTCTCTAACATGTGGTTAGGAGACCCTGCCTCTGATCACTGGGGTTACTGGGAGCACTCTAGGAGCCAGCAGCTGAGCAGGGAGGTCTGGAGAGCAGCAACTCCCCACCACAGCACAGCTCATGCAGTCATCTAAAAATGCTGACTTTGAAACACAGTGAAATCACTGTTCGTGAGAGCAGAAGGGAGATGGTCTTGGGAGTCATGGAGCCCTCCCCTAAATAGTCTCTCTGCTTCCAAATCTTCTAATATGTAGTGTCTATGTGGACTCAGCAGATCAGGTACACAACTTTCTATGAGAGGCTGGGCAAGAAAGACCCAGGGGCTCCAACGCAACTATGTAAAGGCCTGAAATAGCTTGTGGTGGGAAGTTCCTATGAATTCAGAGCTTGCACAAACTGCTTCTGCCTCCCCTTAAACTCCTGACCGAAACAAAACTACTTCAGGATCACGTTTAGATATAGAAGACCCTCTTCCCCCACACAAATCCGCATCCTTGCCCCTCGCCTCAAGCAGCTTATACATGACTTGTTTTTCCTCACTCATGTTATTTGAAACAGATTACTTGCAGAAGCGCCTCAGCAGCTCAGGATGAACAGGAGAGACCTTGCACGCTGGACCTTGGAGCACCTGAGCATGGCACTGATGCACGGTTCTTCTGCTAGCTTTCTTCCTCTGCAAGGCTGCATGCGCTTCACCTCCGCAAGTTTAACCGCTTGCTGTCCACAACAGAGGTACTCTGTGTGATGCTGCACTGCATCTGCCACTCCTCGAGGAAAGAAGGGGAGGAAAGGGACAGCAAGGGAGAAAGATCTTGAAAAGGAGGAAGGAAAACTAAGATAATTACAGCCACCAGCAATGGACAACAATCAGCTAGAATAAGTTGTGTGGGGTGGGGAAAGATCATCCTCATCAAAAACTCTTTTCAAAGTCTTGTCCCCTATACAGCAGATAACAGCCAAAGTCTTTGGGCAGGTTGAGGAAATCTTCTCTTGCCAAGTCTAAAATCCTGACACTGCTGAAACCGTCCCAAACCTGTGTGCGTCAGATGGTGACAAAAACGAGGAAAGTCTCTGCATTTCCCCCATTTTCGAATGTAAATGACTACTTCCCACCAGCATTAAGGTCCCAGCCACAGCAAAAGAGTGCTTCCTTCTGCAGACCAGAAACACGGCAGGTGGAGACTTCTCCCTCACATCCTCCTGTCTCACAGGCACCAAGCACCAGAGCCAGGGAAGTAACTCTGCGTGTTCCTGATTAACTGCATGATATCGGTTTCTAACAGCTTTCCTTATCGCTAATCGCCTTTTCCGTGATTGGTAGGATAAGCTATGCACCAACATACAGACACGGAAATGCATTATTTTTACCACAGTTAAAAAAATCCACAAAAAAACAAACCAAAAAAATGCACAATCTTTGGAACAAAAGAATTAAAGGCAGAAATTTAAAGGAAAAAAAATACATATTCAAAGAACATAGTGAGGTATAAAAAAGTATTTTCTCTTTTGTTTTTTGTTTTTCCTCCTCGTCTTGCTATAGAGTTCCTCTACTAGTAAATATTGCAATAGCCAGGCCTCATGAACTGGGGGGGCTGTCCCACTTGCAGGGGGCTCACGTCACTTCAGTAGGGGGCAAATCGGCTGTAGCCACCTCGGTATAAACTCGCCTGTAGAAATTAAATGAGAGAAGAAGAGGTTGTTAGGAGGTGAACTGTGAAGAAATACTCAGGACAGCACCCAAATGCTCTCAGAAGGACTAACGGACACGTCCTGGCACTGACCCGTCACCATTAGCACCTCTAAGAGGAGAACCTTGCCTGCAAAACCAAAGACATGGCTCAGGAGGACATGCTCACGACCAGCCAGCTGGAGGTGAAGTTTGGCAAGTCTCGGTCGAAGGCAGTTCAGTACGAGAGATGGGACTCGTGAGTTCTAATCTCTGAGCCAGTTGTCTAGGCTGTCTTTATAGATAGCAGAGACCAGGACTTCTAGGATGCTCTTCACCTCACCTTAAGGTGAAGGTCTAAAATAGACACGATGACCTGGTATCCTAGAAGTACCTGCTTTTCCTTCATCGACCCTGAAGAGAATCCACATGGTGAGCTGAGGCTCAAACGGAGGCGCTACACTGCAGACATCTATATTTAGGCATCTTTTTCTCTGAACACATTTGTATTCCAGCCTTTGCAACAACACAGATACTGTGCTGGCTAGAAGCAGATGGGCAAGCATGTGTTTTCAGCAAGCTGCTCCACGCCCCTCTGATGCCAGCATACCTCACTCCTGCCTTTGCATAACTACTGCGGGCAGGCAGGACACCGCATCCACTAGTGGAAGAGGGAACCAAGTGGAGCAGCTTTGCTGCAAGATCTCATGAGAACAACTTATTCCCTTGCTTCCTAAAACTGATTTCTCAACATGCAACATGAGCCTTTAAAGTTTATGAAAATGGCAAGAAAGGGTTATCTCGCATCTCTAACTATTGCTGATTTTTGCTCTATGTATCACCTTAGAATCATAGAATCATTAAGGTTGGAAAAGACCTCTAAGATCATCGAGTCCAACCGTCAACCCAACACCACCATGCCCACTAAACCATGTCCCTAAGTGCCGCATCTACATGTCTTTTATATACTTCCAGGGATGGTGACTCAACCACTTCCCTGGGCAGCCTGTTCCAATGTTTAACCACTCTTTCAGTAAAGAAATTTTTCCTCACGTCCAGTCTAAATCTCCCCTGGCGCAACGTGGTTACAGTTCTACTGATTCACCAACAATGTTCTGGCTCCTGACATTTCTGGTCATTCTTCTACCATCTCCTTTGCACTAGGTGATGTGCAAGACCAAGTGATAACTGGTCTCCTACAACCTGGCTCCTTTCCTAGTGCACACACACAAACATATGAATGGAGAACTACTAGGAACCTGGCACTGCAGCTAAGGACCTCCTCAACAACAAAGTATTTCTAGGTGAAGTTTAATTACCTGATACCCAGTAAACAGCTGTTCCCCATGCTGGAAAAGAGAAACAGCACAAGAAAGAAAATCCCACTTACCACAGCGCCAACTCCGTAGCTAGCGGCAGGGGCAAGGGCATGGTAAGGATCTGCTGTGTACACCCTGCCATAACTGAAGAGAAGGAGAAAAGATATATAAAAGAAAAAAAAATAAGAGAAAAAAAGTCACTTCGGAGGGGCAGAGAAACAGCTGTCTGACCACAGGCAATAGAAGAAGCAGCATGCCCTTTTACACACATGTATGCATACATGCACACATGCACACAGGCAGCCCTTCTTTGAAGAGATCCTATGGGCATGCTGCCATGCATCATATGAGATGGGCGAGAGAATGGCCTGCAAGAACGAATGTGGCAGAAGCCGTGAGTTCGACCTGTAGGAAAGAGGTCAGCACCTTTGAAATGACAGCTAGTGCATCCCTTACCTCGTGTGATGCAATTTGGGAGGAGAGTGATTGCTGGCGCTAGCACTACTGGCACAGTAACAGCTGCTAAATGGAAAGCAGTGAGGGATTCTCCAGAACGAGAAGGGAGTATGAACTTTAATGGTCTCGCATGCACTAGGATTAAAACATGGCCTCACTGCACAGGAGATGAAAAATCTTAAGGCAAGCACTCTGACGATGATAATCCTTTGTATCTATACAGAGCTGCACATTAAAGCATCCTAGAGTACTGTATGAGCTGAGCAATTTTTACTTTATGGATGGGGAGAGAAATGCACCCAGTGATTAAATAACCTGCCCAGAGCCACAGAGCAAGGAGCTGGCAAGGCAAGCCAGGTCTTTTGACTCCGAGGCCATAACCACACTGCCTCCTTTGTGCAAAGAATCACAAGGATAGGGAAGAGGCCAGGATTTGTGCCAGCTCACATACACCGGAGGGCAATACTGCCGGGGAGCAGAGAGACAAACCGTGCATTCAAGTCTTTCATGTTGGGTTGTGCATGCATGTGTGCGTGTGCGAGTGCAAGTAAGACAAAGAAACAGGGAAAGAAGTAGTACTGTAATGGATCGATGCTCCTTGAATCCCTGAGCACAGCAAGCTAGCCCCCATGGACACCTCCCCCTTACATACCCATCGCTGTAAGCTGCTGCAGCGGCTGCAGCGGCCGTGGCTGCTGTTGCAGTAGCAGGCTGTGCATATCTGTAGGCTGCGTATCCACCCTGCAGGAGAGAAGAGAACTGACTTTACAGATACCTGTCCACCCACGCAGAGCATAAAAAGTAAAAATGAAAAAAAAAGTCACACACATCACAAGGAGAGGAAGTGTTTCAAACTGCATCAGCTCCCATGTCATGTCTATCACAAGCATTGCCCGTTAACTCATGCATATTCCTTTCCTCAGAAGGACCAGGGAGACTCTTCCATTACCCCATTTAGTAGAAGGAATAAACTAAAGCAAGCCTGAGCATGGTTATAACGCTACAGGAAATTAAATTTGGCATGGAGGAACTAAAAACCAGAAGAGAGCTGAAATCTTTATGCAATGTAATTTTTATGTCCCCTTCCTCTTACGCTGGGGAAATTGGAGGTGGGCACTTCCTGTGAAGCGTGTATTTTAGAAAGGGGACATTCAAAGAAATTCCTGCCTTCCCCCCCCGCCTCTTTTTTAAGCCTGGGAAACCCAAAAGGCTAGAATTTCATTTGGTCCAGATGCATAAAGTTATCAGTAGCCAGAGAAGCCAAAAAGCAATCAGGAAAAGATGGTCAGAGAAGACAGTCCCTGGTGGACTCAGCACTGGCAACAAGCAAACTGACATTGATACCAACCAGACCGTTCTCCCCTCCCATCATGTAAGGAAACAGGTCAGGGGAAATTATGCCAGAACGGTCTGTACTGCTGCTGCATTTCTGCCCATGCTACACACCTGTAGTAAAGGTCTTTAAAATGCTTACGCTGATAAGAGGTAGTTACTAAAAACATACTTACAGCTGGGTTGGCAAAATGGGAATCCTGACCCAGAGGAAGACCTGCAAGTCTCCTCCTGGAACTCCCACAAGGAGCTCTGGGGGCAGAGGAAGACCTGGCTCAGACAGGCAGCTCTGCACACCCTGCAGTAATGAAGGACAGAGGCCAGCCACCTTTCAGATCAGGGGCAAAAGCTGCATGCAGGCAGCAAAGAGGGCTCTGAAGCCCAGGTTAGATCCTTCTTTATTGTACATTTCTGAACACATTTTTGTTAACTTGGGGGGGGGGGGGGGGGAAGGGAAAAAAACAGGGGGTTTTTTTT